GAAGAGAGAGAGAGAGAGAGAGAGAGAGAGAGAGAGAGAGAGAGAGAGAGAGAGACTGACAGACAGTATCCGAGTCTTCCTCACTGCGCGAATCCGCGGGGGGAGACGTTCAATTGTTTACATTTAGCAGCCGAACGACGAACACATCGGATACATCGCAACAACAAGTTTTTACCGTCTGAACGCGCGCGCTCGTGCTTTGTTCGTCTGCGCTCTCACGTACGTCACCGTTACCGCAGCCCTTACGGAGATCCGCGAGAAATTCAAGCGCTGAAACTTCGCAGCAACGCGCGTCTAAATATAGCGGCGATCAAAAACTAGAATTCAGTAGAAACTAGTGCTAAAGATGGCGACTTAAAACTAGAATTCAGTAGAAACTAGTAGCAAAGATGGCGACTTAAATCGGATCCTTCGATGCTTACTCTTACTTGTATGCTTTATGCTTTACTTTACTTTATTACTTTACTTTTATGCTTACGCATCGCGTCGCTGTGGTCCACAGCCCGTGGAGATGATGAAGATATTATCAGATGCATTTATCTATCAATCATCTCCTGATTAATGCATCTATGCAGCCGGAACTTTGCCGAATATTAACGATGTTTGCCGAATCGCTGGAATGTAGATCAAAGAGTTTAAGAACCCCTGTGAGTCGTAAATGCGATACTCGTCAAACTGCGTTTTAGCATTTTGTACCGCCGCAAAAAGTCTTGGAAGACAAATTAAAATCTATAAATATTCTCAGTTTACTTCAGTGAATAATTAAGTGGGGTCGCATATAAACTCTTCTCCTCCTTCTCTTCGTCTTCCTTCTCCTCCTCCTCCTTCTTCTTCTCCGCCTCCTCCTCCTTTTACTCTGCCTCTTTCTTCCCCTGTTTTTCCTTCTCTTATTCTTTCTACTCCTTATTCTTCTCAATATTCTCCCTTTCCTTCTTTTTCTCTTTCGCTTACCACTCTTTCTCCTCCATATTCGCCTTCACCTAGTTCTTCTGGTCGTCATGGTCGTGTTCCGTAATTAGAGATTGCTGTCTGTAAAGCAGGGAGGAATGGATACGATGCGACCCCTACGTGCGGCCCAGCGGCCAGATGGCCCCTGATGCCTACACCGTGCCACGAACCACAATAAACAGACTGGCAAGCTCTTCTCTCTCTCTCTCTCTCTCTCTCTCTCTCTCTCTCTCTCTCTCTCTCTCTCTCTCTCTCTCCCTCTCTCTCTCTATCTCTCTCTCTCTGTGTTGCTCCCTCTCTCTCTCTCTCTGTGTTGCTCCCTCTCCCTCTCTGTCGCTCCCTCTCCTTCTCTCTCCCCCTCTCGCTCTCTCTCTCTCTCTCTCTCTCTCTCTCTCTCTCTCTCTCTCTCTCTCTCTCTCTCTCTCCCTCTCTCTCTCTATCTCTCGCTCTC